CAAGGCCGAAGTTTCCGGAGGGAGGAGGGTAACTTCTTCAGGCCTTCGGCCTTGATCCATCTTCTATCCGCCACCCCCTCTCTCCCTATTTATTTCAGAACCCCCTTCCCCTCCCCCATTTCTGATGAAGGGTCTAGACTCGAAATGTCAGCCTTTCTGCTTCTATGATGCTGCTTGGCCTGCTGTGTTCATCCAGCTCTGCACCTTGTTGTCCCTTTTTAAAGCTGTTCTGTACCTTAACTTGCATCGAGTCTTGCCCCATAGCCTGGATTCGCAGATTGATATTAGATGCCTTAATTTTAAAATTCTCACCGTTGTTTTTAATTTCCTGAATCGTCATTCCCCCTCTCTATCTCGGCAATCTATTCCAGTTCGATAAACTTCTAAGATTTCTATGCTGCTCCAGCTCTAACCTTGTGAGAATCCTCAGGTTTCAGTGCACTATCATTAGTGGCTATGCCTTCAGTTGACTAGGCCCCATGCTTCGGTGTTCCCTCCTGCAACTGGTCGCTCCCCCTCTCTATCTCTCTCTCTTTACCATGTTCTTTAAGTCCAACTTCTTTGATCAAGTTTTTGGGCATCTGTCCTAATATTACCTTGCATGACCTGGTGTCAGAGTTCTTTGAGGAAGCACCTTTGGTATATTTTACTGTGGTAAGTATGTGCTATGTCCATGGAAGTTGTTGTTGCTTCATATTTGCGAGAATAGCCAAGTAACTCACTTCATATATAAATAGCTCTGACAACTGAATTGATCCTGCCTCACACGTTTAGAGCTAAATTCTGCAGCTTTTTCTCTTTTACTTTCCAAATGTTATGTTTAGAAATGTTTCCATCTGTTGTTACTTGTCTCTTTGTGCCAACGTACTACCCTGGTCTGTTTAATGGCAGTAGTTTGACTGGCACCCTGTTGTCAAGAGCTGAGCCTATATTGAGAGTAAGAGGTACAGAGGGTTATGAGGAAGCACTTTTGATGCAGAAGTGAGACTGACCTGAAACTTGGTGCCCATGAGGGTGATGGAGCAGTGTTGTAGAATGATTTCTGAAGGAAATTGGAAAGGCATTTGAGGGAAACAAACCTGTAGGGCTATTGGAGTAGAGCAGGGGAATGGGACTGATTGGTTTGACACACAGTGAGCTAGCATAGAAGCTGATTGGCCTCCTTCTGTACCATTATGACTCCATGGTTGTAGAGAAGGTGTGTCAGGATTTTATCTGCAATGGACAAGAGGGATGTACCTCTATAGTTCCCACAGCATGATTTGTTTCCTTATCTTGTCATAATTGTTAACTTCCTGATGTTCGGGCAGGTAGGGGACGCTGCTGAGCTTTTTTTAACGTCCTAATCTGCAGGATGGGTGCATGGGTCTTGGTGAGAGCATTTTGCCCCAACAGTGTGGCTTTAGAGCCTTTGGAGGAATCTGACATGAGCAGGAGTAGGCGATTCAATATGATCATGGCTGATCGTCCAACTAGTACCCTGACCTCATTTCTTCCCGGACTCTTTCATCCCCTTGGGCCTAAGCACTCCATTTAACTCCATTTTGAAAACATTCAATGATTTGGTCTCAACAGCTTCCTGTAGCCTCCAGGTGAAGAAAATTCTCCTCATCTTAGTTCACAAAGACCTATCCTGAATCCTTAAACTGTAGCCCCTAATTTTGGACACCCTGGCCCTTCCTGTGTTTAACCTGTATAATACCACTTGCATTTTCTAAGTTTCTGTGACAGTTGTCCCCCTTCAATCTTTTGAATTCTAATGGACGTAGTCCTAACTGATCCAGTCTCTCTTATTATAAGAACATTTTACCATCTTGGATATCAGTCTGGTAAGTCATCGTTGCAGTTCCTCCTCACTCAAATAAGAAGATCAAAACTGCACAGAATACTCCAGATGTAGCCTCTCCAAGGTCCTGTGCACTTACAGCAAGATATCCCTGCTCCTGTACTCAAATCCTTATGCTGTAAAAGCCAACATAATGTGTGGACTTGAAATGTTAAACAGAGGCTTAAATGATCACAGAGGCTATCAAAGCCACAAGGTTTTGCCAGCACTTTCTGTTTGTCATTTCAAATAGACCTCATTTCAGCTATTCATTGGCACAGTGCCCCTTGACAGTGCAACATTCCTTCACTGTTGCATTGGAATAACGCTTAATTTTTAGACTGGGCCTTTCCTAGTGCAGTGAGCACTCACCCTTGGCCCCAGATAATTGACCACAGCAAAACAAGTCAGAAATTCCTGGAAATTTCAGAAATTAGGACTGCTGGATGTAAATCTGTCAGGAGTTCTGCTGGAGGAACCAAACAGAGACCTGAAGAAGTTAGACTCTGAAATGCTGTGGTATATGTTGGATACAGTCCACAGAAATGGATACAAATGGAGTTAACTAAGTATGATAATTACTTGTAGATCTTTCCTAAAATCAGCTTCAGCCTAATCTAAAATTTTTAACTTAGAAAACCAGACATTTGTTCATAAACATCATATCAAATTTGCCAACTCATTATGGCATTTGATTTAGATTAGTTATTTGTATACTTTGCAGTCATATCTACATTTTGGGAATAATTGAAGTATGGAGCAGAACGTTATGGGGGGGTTGGAGCAGGGCAAGGAGGAGTATGCAGGATGTGTTCTGCAGCTGTAAAGCAGTGTGGCTGGATGAAACCGAACCTCCCACCCCCTCACAAGGAGAAAGCTTTACCCCCTGCACTGCCAGTCACTCGGATTAGCCAGCAACTCCTACAGTCCCACTGCACTGGTGCTCCATAGTGCATGCACATACATGAATGTAAACAGTCACAGCATCATCAAACAATGCCAACTGTTCAGACCTTTTAGTGTCAGTTTAAAGGCATGAGCAGTATGTTAAGATTTAGGGAGAGGGGTTAAAAGAGAAGGTGAGGTTGCCGTAGTCCTACCGGACCATATGTTGCGCTGTCTCATTAGAGAGAGAGAGAGAGATGAGTGATGGTGGTTTAGCCTGAGGGCGATCCTCTGGCGAGGGGTAAGACTGAGAAAGTGGACTGTTATGGTAACCTCAACCATTGTTTGGAGAACTGGTTAGCTATGCAGAGTGTGAGGCAAACAATGTGAGTACATTCTCCACTTGGTCTCAGGTTACTGTGAAGGTGTTGCCTTCTCAACCTCCCCTCTCGCTCTGTCGAATGGGAGAACAGCCCAAAAGTTTGATAGGACTATGGGGACAAGGGGTAGTGAGCTCACATTAACTAAACTGCATTGTTTACCCCTTCCTGTACCTAGAATCACTAGGATTTAAACACTGCCTTCCACTCTGTGTGCTGCTTCCTACCAGTTGGATAGAATTGTGACAAATAAAGCATCTTCCTTCTGCATTGTAACAACTGAGTAAATGTGTAAATTATTGGGCAAGTCCACTAGCCCTTTGCACGCTCCTGCTCAAGAATCTCACCTGACTGGTACATCATTATCCTGTGGAAAAGTAGAAAACTTGAGTTGTTAGAATATTCTTGGAACGTGGTGCAAAGCTGCCACTGATGAGTTTAAGCTTTTCAGCTCCCTTCAACTGTTTGATTTAATGTTTGTACAGATCCACATTCCTTTCATGTTCAGAGGTGCTGTGCAGTATTAATGTTTGGTGCTGTTGAGAAGACTGTGAACAGACAGCATGTCTAATGATTCACTGTGTGCTCCTCTTATTCCTTCCAGGCGCCGGTTGATTTCCCAACGTTCTTCATTAGAAACTCTGGAAGATATAGAGGAGAATGCTCCATTACGGAGGTAAGAAAATAGACCAAATTGCCAGTAACGCCCACTGGGTAATCTTCTTCTACGTCTACAGTCAGTGGAATATTGTTCCCATCCCAACAAGTAATCATCACTGTTGAGTGGATTACACAGCAAAATCCTTTCTGCTTCATCAGATAGCTATTTTCCAGATGGGCCTTGTCTTGTCCAAGGGTGTGATTTGTGTTACTCCTAGCTCTATCCCACTGGATGGGAAACTTGTATATTTTACTGAAATGTTATTGAGTTGGTTTACAACTAAGGCCATTCCTCACTAAAAGTATATTGATGTTCAATCCAACTATTTTTTGTTGACTCATGAGATGTGAGTCTTGCTGTGTCTGGGCCAGCATTTATTGCCCATCTCTAGTCGACCCTAAGAAGCTAGTCAATTGGTCCACAATGCAATCTATTGTGTAAACTGGATCCTTTTGAGGAGAGTAAAAGCCAAATACTGCAGATATTGGAAATCTGAAATACATATATTGGAAACGCTCAGTAAGTCTGGCAGCATCTGTGGAGAGGAAAACAGTGTTAATGTTTTGAGTCCAATAGGTGTGTTCTGAGAAAGAATCTCTCCACAGATGTTGCCAGACAAGCTGAGTTTCTTCAGCATCTTTTTTAAAATTCATTTATAGGAGAACAGCCTTTATATTTTATGTCACTTTCTGCTTCAGGCAAAATTTTTTTGAGAAAGGAACTTGTCTTCATTCAGCATTGATGGTTACATTTTAATTGCCTTTTCTCACAGATGCCGGACTCTATCAGGTTCACCCAGACCAAAGAGCTTTAAGAAAATTCACTTTATCAAAAATATGCGACAACATGACACCAGAAACGGCAGGTATGAGGCAATTTTAAAAACAGAATGTGCCAAACATTTGGTTTGGTGGTGTCCAGCATTGGCTTTTCTCTAACCATAAATTAGAAGGTAAGAAAATAGCAGAGGGAAATACTATTTGTATGGTCTTCCAAAATCATTTGACAGAGACCATCATGGAAAGACTTTCAGCTCAAGTTAGTGAGATGTGTTTGAAAATAAATTTTTGACCTGGTTAGGAACTAGTGGGATTTCCAAGAGACAGAAGGAATGATGGGTGGGTACTCTCATTGATCGGATGTGATAGCGGTCATTGTAATAACTGTCTTGAGTTCTCAACTCTTCGCTGCATTTACTAATGACTTGGATGAGGTAGTAGAAAGTCTCATTTTCACATTTTGCACATAGTAAATAGTCAAATTCTAAAAACAGTGGAGGTTTAAAAAGACTAGGGGATCCATGGACAGAGCTCATTAAAATGTCATGAACAAGTACAGAAAACAAGAATAAGGCTAATGAAATGCTGTCGTTCATATGTAGAGGACGAGAATACCAGGAGAGTGGAAGTTGGTTTGGCTGGAGTGGTTAAATGGCTTACTGTTCCTATTAGAATACTTCTTTATAAGGTTTAGCATTATACTGCAGTTCAGCAGGTAGTCTTAAATTGACAGAGTTTTGCCTCCAAACAACTTTGGCAGTTCAAAAATTAATGTGGAGAGGAGCTGTGACCATAGGTTAGAATATGTATTGATGCTGTACTACACGCGTGAATGATAGGCACTGGATTACAATCACAGTTGACCATTTAGGGGTTAGTAGCTACAATAGTCATGATGCATGTGTGGCATGGAATGACTTCAATCAAATGAGTTAACATGCAATGTGTTCGTGTAACTTGCTCGTCTCAAACTCAGAAAATTACTCCAGAGCTTGGAGCATCTAATGTAGGTGAACACTTCAGTATACTGCTGAAGGGGTACTGAAGTATCAGACATTCAACTAAAGCCTCAACAGTGCGCTCAGATGGATCCTTGGTGCTATTTGAAGAAGAGCAGTACATAGCTTCTAATGTCTTGAACAATATTCATCATTTAAGCAATATCATTAATACAGGGTTTAGAGGGGTGTGGACCAAATGCTGGCAAATGGGATAGATCAGTTTAGGATATCTGCTTTGACCTTTATGTCAGTAGTGTTGGTGGGACTTTGCTGTGTGCAGATTGGCTGCAATATTTCCCTAAATTACTATAATAACTGCATTTCAAGTGGACGTGATTGATTCAAAGTGCTTTGGGACAACATGAAGACTTAAGGGGGAAATTTCTTAGAGGGTGGTTTGCATGTGGAATGAACTTCTTGAGGAAGTGGTGGATGCAGGTACAGTTACATTTAAAAGACACTTAGATAAGTACATGGCTAGGAAAGGTTTGGAGGGATATGGGCCAGGAGTAGGCAGGTGGTACTAGTTTAGTTTGGTATTATGTTCAGCATGGACTGGTTGGACCGAAGAGTCTGTTTCCGTGCTGTATGACTCTGAGGTTCTGAATGGTGCTATATAAGTATCTTCTTTGAAATTTCTTTACATGATTAACATACTGATTTGTATTAATGGAATATTGTTTGCAAGTAAAATATTTCCTGTGGCTACTTGCCATTGGTTCCCCAATTTCATGTTTAAAATCATATTATTATTAACAAAACTTGTAATTAAATAGCATACTTAATGAATAACAAAATCCCGACACTCCAGTGTAATGAGGCAGTTCCAGTAAAATATTTCAGGCTGATAAATAGTGTTACGTGACTGAAGGCTTATCAGCAACAGCTCCTTTTTTACAAAGCAATGGATAAGTGAAAGTTGTTGTAAAGAACTTCCAGGAAGAGGGTACTTAAACTTAGTAAAGCTTCTTTGATCATTTAGGACTCTGAGCAATCAATGCAAAAACTAGTCCCCAGTAGGTTTTATTTAACTGCATTTTTTATTGCGGGTTCTAAACAGAGTTACAAACCCTATTCCTTCACTAGTTGTGTACAAACACATACGTGACCTACTGTGCATAGAATAAATTTTGATTCACCCCTCTGTTTGATTTGTTGGTCTGTCACTGGTACATCACTGATGGCTCCTAATGCAATAAATGTAATACAAACAGCCTCTGAACTGCAAACGGCTTCCAATCTGGAGTCCGTTCTCAAGTTGATTTGTTTGCACGTGAGAACACAATGCAGGACAATGTAAAGCAGCTACTCATAAGTACAAGAAATGTTCATAAGTCAGGTCTTTAAAGTTACTGTAATGTTTGGGATCGCATCTGTGATTAAGAGTGTTCGTATTTTGGATGTTCATAAATTGGGTAACTTTTTTATTTGTTCAAAGAATGTGGCTATCACTGGCTAAGCCAGCATTCATTGGCTGCCCCTAATTATCCTTCAGAAGGTAGTGAACTGCCTTCATGAACTGGTGCATTCCAGTGGCGGTGTAGATATACCCAGAGCACTGTTACAAAGGGAGTTCCAGGTTTTGGTCCAGTGACAGTAAAAGAATGGCAATATGTTTTCAAGTGAGGATAATATGTGGCTTGGAGAGTAATTGCATGTGCCGGTGTTTCATACATCAGTTGTCTTAATGGTAGAGGATGCAGGTTTGGAAGGCAATATCAAAAAATAAGTTTGGCGAGTTGCCACATTGCATCTTGTAGATGGTACACGCTATTGCCACTATGTGTTAGTGACAAAGGGAATGAATGTGGAAAATGGCTGATGTGGTGCCAGTCAATTGGGTTACTTTATCCCAGATGTTATCAAGCTTCTTGAGTCTTGTTGGAGCTGAACCCTCCAGGCAAGTGGAGCATATTCCATCACACTCCTGACTTGCATGTTTTAGATGGTGGAAATGATTTATGGGGTCAGCATTCCCAGCCTCTGGCCGACTCTTGTAGCATTGATATATATGTAAGACCCATAAGACATAGGAGCCAATGCTGTAGCAATAAAGGCCAAGTCAGGAGTGTGATGGAATGCTGCCCACTTGCATGGATTAGTGCAGCTCCAACAACACTGAAACTCAGCACCATCCAGGAAAAAGCAGCCTGCTTGATTGACACCCCATCCACCACCTTCAATGTTACTCCCTGCACTGTAGCAGTATTGTGTACTATTTACAAAATGCACTATTCATCAGGGCTGCTTCAGTCGTATTTTCCGTAACTCTACCACCGAGAAGGAAAGAACAGCAGATACCACCATCTTCAAGTTCCCCTCCAAGTGCTGCGCCTTAGCAACTTAGAACTGTAGTGTTGTTCCTTTACTGTCACTGGGTCAAAATGCTGAAGTTTCCTCCTTCACAGCATTCAGGGGAAGGCAATGGCCCAGTGGTATTGTCGTTGGACTGTTAATCCAGAGACCCACATAAAGTTCGAATCCTGCCACGGCAGATGGTGGAATTTGAATTCATTGGAAAAAAATCTGGAATTAAGAATCTAATGATGACCATGAGCCCATTGTTGATTGTTAGAAAAACCTAACTGGTTCACTGATGACCTTTAGGGAAAGAAACTGCCATCCTTACCTGGTCTACATGTGACTCCAGACCCACAGCAATGTGGTTGACTCTAAACTGCCCTCTGGGCAATTAGGGATGGGCAATAAGTGCTGCCTGGTCAGTGATGCCCTCATCCCATGAATGAATAAAGAAAAAAAACAGCTCTCCACCATCATGTCCATAGTATTAGGGGATTGGCAGCATTTGTTGTCCTAGCCAAGGACACGCACATCCCATGACTGAATAAAATAAAATCTATACTTTCTTAGTGCTGTTAACTTGAGTAAATGTCCCAAGGCACTTCACAGTGCAATACAAAATAAATTATGTCACTAAACCGTAGAAGGAGGAATTGGGTCAGATGACCAATGGGTTGGTCAGAGTTAAGCGAGGTGGAATGATTTCATGAAGCAAGAACAGAATTTTGGAATGCAGGCAGTGGAGGGTAGACATATGAGTGGTGGAGCGAATAGAATTAGTGATGCACAGGAGAGTAGACATGGGTGGGCATAGGTAGTTTGGAGGATTATGGAATTGGAGGATAATACAAATAGGAAAGGATCGGGCCATTGGAGGCATTTGAAAAAGAGGATGAAAACTTTCAAATCAAGGTTTTGCTTGACTAGAAGCCTGTATTGATCAGTGCGCACAGGGCAATAAGTGAACACGACTTAGTATGCATCAGGGTTTGGTTTGGCTCATCTCCAGTTTATGGAGGAGTAGTATATGGGAGAACAGATAGGAGAGCATTGGAGTTGTCAAGTCTAGAGATATCTAAGGAATATTTTGGATTTTCAGCAGCAGATGAACTGAGACAGGGGTGACATCTGGCAGTGTTGTGGAGATGGAAATACTCAGTCTTGGTAATGGCACGAGTATGTGCCTGGGCTGTTATATATTATTAAGCTTGTGACCAATATGGTTCAATCTGATATTTGACAGTATGAGGGATTGTGTCATTAGATAGGGTAGAGTTTAAAGTAGGAACTAAAGACAATGACTCGAGTCTTTGCAATTTTTAATTGGTGAAAATTTCTACTCCCCGAGTTCTGGATGTTGGTTAAGTAGTTTGACAGTGAAGGAGTTGAGCTTGGTAGGCATGAGGTAGTGCTGGCTGACAACAGCTATGTGTGAGAACGAGTGGTGTGCTTGTGCTTGCTGATTGTGCCACTTAGGAACAGCATATGGATATGAAGTTGGGAGGGGGCAAGGTCAAGGCATAAGTAGCAGTGGTTAGGAAGGAGAAAATGCCAGAGGAGTTGAGGAGTCAGGTCAAGGTATGATCTGGTAATTAGCACCACAACAACAGTCTTGGCAGGATAGGCGGTTGAAGATATAGCCAAGCAGCAAGGTTTCCTAAAGGAGAAAGGTGCCATCATGGCCTCAAGTGGGTGTCTGTTATGGCCATTGTGGTGATGCAATTGCCTACAATAATTGCCAAAAACCTTTTCACGTGTGAATGGATGTTCTGATGGGAGAACCA